TGGCAAAAATTAACGAGCCAAATCTGATACAAAAAATCGTGGAAACTAAGGGCCTAATTCGAAAAAGTAAAAACTGTAGAAGATTGGAGGAGACCAACTTTCAGCAACTTCAGCTGTGGACTGCGGAAGATATTAAACAATTTTGTGGATCATACCACTTACATCTCGCAAGATCTTACACAGCAGATATTTTTGCTTGCGGCAAATATTAATTTCAAAGCAAGGACAGCTACCAACCAAACTTTTTGGATCATGCAATACATGTTGTTGATCCAGTTTTTTTGAAATGCAGGTTATTGACAAGACACAAATCGCTAAAGATCTACAATGTGTTTATATTAATTGATCTTAATAAACGAACAATGTCATCGGTGGCCACCTGTTATGTAGGTACGTGCATGAATGGAGCCAGAACAATTGGGCACCGTGAACACGCGATCGTCATCATATGGTACCTAGGTTTCAGCCGTTATGCAGGATTCAAGGCACTGGCAGAATATTTGAATTGGCACTATCACCAGATCAAACCTCGCTTAGAGGACACATCCAAGGATGATTCTGACGACGAATGTGGGAATTCATCCCAATAGGTGACGTTTACTTTAAATTCCTTACCATTTTTAAATCATATTAAAAAAACTAGCATAGTTTTATTTTCTCTTGTTTTAATTAGCTTAATCTTGAGGTACTTTATCCTACATTTCACTTTTTTTTGTAAGATTATTTTATATCATTTTGTTTGAATTTCAAACATTCGAAATACCTAATCGTCTTTAAACTCTTGTCAACCACAAAACACCTGGCTGAAATCAACATTCCATTTTCTACTTATTCTAAATTATTCGTTTGCCTGGATGGTCTCTGACACTTAGAACTGGCTATTAACTATGGGTTAGAACAACAAATCACAGGGCACATAAACTTTATTATTACAAATTATCTCTTGAGTAAGTCAGTTAAAACTAAAAAGTTGCATAAAGTCGATGAACCAGTCGCTAGGCCACGCGGCGAGGAGCCCAGGACGGCTATGTAACGGTGCGTAATGGGTACGGCGCGTCGAAACCCGCGTATAAAAATGGTCATAACTTCTAAACCAATCGTCTCCCCGCCAAGTATGACATATCGATAGATGTGGAATCAGACGAGAAATTGATTGGACATATTTTTTTTAAAATAAAAAAATTGCTTTTTTGGGTATTTACGAACATGTAAAATTCGACGGATCAAAAATCCAAAAAAAGAGGTGAATCATAAGTTTAATGTTACGTTTCATCCGAAAATCATACATAAAACAAAAGTTCATAATTTTTAAAGAATTTTAGCGCAAACCACAGATCAATCATTCAACTGGTTCAAAAGTTATCGAATTTTTAAGGTTGCAACTTCGCAACGCCGCCAAAGCGCGGGAAAATTTTTTTTGGACTTGAAATTATCAGAAACGGGGCCCTTTGTTATGGTAAAACAGCATACTAAAAAATGGAAGCAATCGGAGCTACGGGGGATTTGGCCGTTTTTGCATAAGGCTCTTTTACGTATAAAGTAAGACGTTAGCTTTCATATTTGGAACAAAACAAATTTCTTGATTGTAAAGAATCCTAGTACCCAGAGATGGAAAATTTCATGAAATTTATTCGAGTGAAATTTCACGAAATTTTATGAAATTTATTGAAACTTTTGGGGATACCTTTAGGAGGTAAAAAATGCCTAGAAACAGTGATTTTAAATTTTGAAATTTTTCACCCCAAGCCTAAAAAATTCGCGCGTTGCAAATGTTTTGGTTCAGTTTAGAGGTTAAGTTGGGGTTCTACTCTCTAAACTACCCTGTTTGCTCCCTCTTTGTGTCTGGCACCTTCTGAGTAGAGTAGCATAATACCCAGAGTTGCTAAAAGAAATTTCATCGATTAAAATTTCACAAGAAATTTCATGAAATTTCTTTTTTCCCCATGAAATTTTTTGAAATATCCTCATGATATTTCTTGAAACTTCCTCATAAAATTTCTTCTTATAATCTTTCACGAAATTTCTTAACTCTGATAATACCGCAGCATCAACTAAAAGACCATCTGAAACGCTTTCAGACCTCCAAAGGTTTAATCAATAATTCTAAAAAAAATTAATAAATTTCAACTTTTGTGAAATTTATTCGAGCCTTTTGAAATTTCACTTTCCATCTCTGCTAATACCCCCTAATAGTATATCCTTCTTTTTTGGTACAAAAGGGAGGGAGGGATCTTAAACTATCCTTGAAACAATTTAAATGATTTTCCAGAAATTAACAGTTTCCTTCGCTAATGTATTTCTTTTTTGAAATAAGAAATATTTGATAAATAAGTAGAGTACCTGTATTTTTGAGCTTTTAAGTGATCGATTTTGAGATCAGTAAGTAGTCAGGTATTTTACTTTTTCTTAAATCTGAGAGAAAATGTTTCAAAATGAAAGAGTAAGCATTTTGTAAGTGGAAGAGAAGACGAGAAGCGAAGAACTAAGAAGAGACAGCGCTCCACTTGGTCTAATTGACGAATATTATTCTCTTTAAAAATAAAAACAAATTCGGTTAGAAAAAACAAGCATTTTTGATATTTTGTCGGTCGAAAGAAATTTCATGGGGAAAAAAGAAATTTCATTCGATGAAATTTCTTTTAGCAACTCTGATGGGAGGCCGAAATACGGACTTTTGGACTCATATTTTGTGGGTTAATATTGCTCAAAAAAATCGGGGAAAATTCCTGTGAACTATGTGCACTCTCTAGGCACCAAAAATGCAAGAATTACGAATTACTGAACCAGCTCATTTAAACTCAACAATGTCTACGAATAACACTTGAAAAAACACATGAAAACACTGTTAAATCGCCTTTCGCCTTATGGTGAATCTTCAGCTATAGTTCCTGAAAAATCCACCACATTGCGCTGCTAAAATCCGACTCCGAAATCAGTGATTATTTAAATATCACAATAGATATTTTGAATTCGAAGACTCATAAGTTCAAGCAGCATACATCTGGAATCCTTAGAAACAAACGCAAGCTTTGAAAGTTTAATAATAGAAGCTATAACTTGATCCCAGTTTCTCTTACGGGATATCTGCAAGTGCGAGAGAAACAGATCATGGTGGGAGAGAGATATCTGCAACTGCTGAGAGCGATCAATCGCGATTGGTTGCATCAAGGTCATCATGCTTAACCCTAATTTTTTTTGGGATCAAGTTTCAGAGCTTCAGAAATTACTTTTCACGTCGTGTTTAGTGTCAATAGGAAGAAGAATGTTATAGCTAGAACTTATGACTCTTCGATTTAAACAGAAATTCCTTTAACTTTCATAAAAGCTCAAGGACTCACGTGGAGCTGTGCGGATTCTAATAGCGTGGACCAAAAAGTCCAAACACAGCGGTGGCGCCCCCTGCGTAGAGAAATTTCTTAATTCACGGAGCTGTAGACAAACCAATCACAGGAGGATGTAAGATGTGCATTACCTCAAACTTGTTTGCTGGTGACAGCCATTTTGTTTGTTTATCTACGGCCGTAAGGACATCGTGTCAGCCTATTTTCACGCGACCAATGAAAAACCGGCACAGAAATGGCCATACTCGGTCTATAAAGGTACTCTAGTGTGAACCAGTGTTCGAAACACAGGCTGGCCAAACAGCAATTTGCTCGTAAGAAATCGCCTTTGGCCGCTAAAAGAATCGTTGTTAAACTCTGTTTTTGGGATTTTTCGGCGCATCCTCTCAGACTGAGATGGAAAATTTCATGAAAAATAAGATTTTGAAATTTCACTTGGGATTTCATGAAATTTCAATGAAACCGTGAAAAATTAAAATCTCAGCTTGATTTTCAGTAATTTTTTGATTCCAGTAATTTTTTCTGCCCAACTGCTTGCCACAACAAGACGAATATGCATAGGGAGTATTAGGGAGTCGTATCTCGTGCCCTCTTGCCGTCACGCAACGAAATGGCGGCTAAAATCGAAATGATTCAACCGTCGTTGTTTGTTTTATCCGCATTCGTGCCATAGATTTTTGGTACTGTAGATTTTTGCCGGTCAACTAAGACAAAATGATCATAAAATTCCTACCTTTACTTTTTGTTGTTCGTATTCTTTTGGCTCTAAACTTCATATATTCACTGCAAAGAAAATGATTTTCAGTAAAAAAAAATTAAAAAAAAGAAAAACGGTAGAAAAAACCAAAAAAATAAAAAACAGCAGAAATATGTACTCCAACGTTACATACAATGCACTGAGTAGGTACTGGGCTCTTCATCTATAATTCTTGAAATTTATCATTTAAATGCAAATAAAGTTTAGAGCAATAGAAAAGAAAGGTACTTAGGCACATACTATTTATTCTAATCTTAAAGAAGAATTTTACCTACTGAAAAGAATAGCACAATCATGACTATTTTTTGAGGGACACAATTGTTTTACGATGCCATATTATTTATACAGGGTGTCTCACGAAAAACGAGCCACCATGAATATCTGCCGAACACGTCAGAATTTCGAAAAACGGTAAAAGACGTGTTCGTTTATATCAAGGGGGACACCTTTTGGCGTATTTGACATTTTCCCAAACCGCGGGAGGGGCGCGGGGCGGGAGGTGCCCCACCCGTAAGTGGAACTTTTCAAATGGCACTCCTACTTTTTTATTTCAGAAATCAATTCTACGCAAAAAAACAAGACACCCTGTCCAAACCGAATGTAAATCGGACAATTTTTCAGTGATTGGCAGAGGTTGAAACATTTTTTTCATGCTCTTTTCAAAAATTTCCCACGCCCAATGGAATTGCCGCATCAAACCAAACTCTCCGCCAAAAAAATTCTTAAACATTGCACTTTCGATAAAAAAATAAAAAAAAATCTGCTGCACTCGAAATCTGGAGTACGCGGAGCCCTTCTTTGTGACATTAAAATTTGATTTACCAAACATTTCCGAGGGGCGCTCATTGGGAGGGAGTAGTAAGTTTTAGACAAGAATTATTATTCTGTTTTCTGAAGCATAAGAAACCGTGTCCATGAAGAAGCAGCTAAGTAGAAAAACAAATGGATTAGCTTTTTTTTTGGGGGGGGGGGAAGGGGTCAATGACTTGAGCCGGACATACTTCTGAGGACGCTATTTTTCCGCGGGGCGTTGTTTTTCTACTTAGCTGCTTCCTCATGGAAACGGTTACTCATGTTTCAGGAACAAGAATAATAATTCTTGTCTAAAACTTACTACTCCCTCCCAATGAGTGCCCCTCAGAAATGTTTGGTAAAAAAAATTTTAATATCGCAAAGAAGGGCTCCGCGTACTCCAGATTTCGAGTGCAGCAGATTTTTTTAAATTTTTTTTTAGCGAAAGTGCAATGTTTAAGAATTTTTTTGGCGGCGAGTTTGGTTTGATACGGCATTTCCATTGGGCGTGGGAAATTTTTGAAAAGAGCATGAAAAAAATGTTTCAACCTCTGCCAATCACGAAAAATTGAAAAATTGAAAAATTGAAAAATTGTCCGATTTACATTCGGTTTGAACAGGGTGGCTTTTTTTTGCGTAGAATTTATTTCTGAAATAAAAAAGTAGGGGTGCCATTTGAAAAGTTCCACTTACGGGTGGG